AATTGATATTATCTATTGAATTATAATATAAGTACTTTATGGTTTTCAGTTTATATTTAGTGTGGTGTATTTACAGGATAAGTAACTATACCATAATTGAACACTGATTCCTGTTTTGATCGGTATACATTTTTATATCGAAAATACCTCATATAACGTTTTGTAAACCAAAGTTTTAAACGACTTTATTAATAACATAATTTTTACACTAATAATTTGTACTAAATATTACCAAATAAACACCACAATAATAAACACTTTAATAGCAAACCTGAATGGAGTCTAGACTGGAATGAAGAATTTGATGGTGATGAGCTGGATGATAATAACTGGCTAATTATAAATAATAAAAGTAGAGGTATGAATGCATTTAATGCTAATAAAACGTATAAATAACTTTAAACCCTTTGTATCATATGATATATAAGTATATCTTGTTTACCGCTTTTAGTTTTAATGCATTTAGACATTAGTTTAATAAACATTTAGATTTCAACACATTTTATAACTTTATGTAATAAGGTATATATAATATTTACTTGAATTATAACTAACAATATTTATTTGAATTATAACTAACAATATTTATATTAATTATATTTTCATTTAATAAATATCTAGAGTCTAGACACATTCAATATGTACATAATAATTAATAATCTCAATTATTAATAATTAATCTGTAAATAATAATTGACAGAAATATAAGGAATTAAGCCAATAGTGAGTTATATTTTTTGATTTCTTTTATAAAAAAATAATTTCCTTTTCAAGAGAAATAATTTTTAAAATCATTTATTTTCCATAAAAAAGATTTATTTTTATTGTTTTATTTAGAAAATTCTGGCTATATTTTATCAAATCATAAGTTAGAAAATACTGGAAAAATGTTTGTTTATTGTGTATAACGTGTGCCAAAAATATTAGTACATTTATGATTGAATGAAAAAGTTTTCATACTATTATATAACACACGACTATTATCGTAAACACTGTATTTCAGTGCAATACCAGTGCACCACTCGATGATAGGTAATGGACTTTGTAGTCCAACATTACGACATTAGTCCAAAGGACTGTACAATTAAATGCATGTAACAGATGTAATGAATTATTAATATTTATTATTAAATCTAACATTAAAATGTTTATTTGTAACATAAATTTGAATATTGTTAAATGTTTTATATCAGGCTAATAGAACATATTAATTTAATATTATCGACTCTATAATATAAGTGAATATATTTTTAGTTTAATATCGTTGATGGATATAAAATCAATAACAATATTAACATTAATAAATTAATTAAACTCGATGTACTCAATGTTATAATATAATAGTATGCTATATTATAGTGATGGTTATTGAAAATAAAAGTAATTCCTGTATAATATAAAATATTCTGTTTAAAGTTATTGTAATCTTAAAGACAATATGAATAATTCATTCACAGGCAGGCGTTAGAGCTTGGTCAACTAACTAATTAATAATATTAGATTATATTTTAAATCACTAAATAAATCATATTATGAATGTCAGACATTAGGTGTCGCCTTTATTAACAAACAATACCATAGAATATAAAATAAATACAGAAATGAATTTATAAATTAGACCTGGGTATTACTATTTATATTTCAATTATGAGCTAGCAACCTGTAAGATATTTTAAATATAGTTTGTAATAAATAAATTGGGAATAATATTAATTTGTTAACAGTTTATGTGTTTTATAAGATGCCTTCAAATGTCTCGTGAATCCAATCGAGAAAATAGGAAACCTTTGTGAACACAAGTGGGAAGCCGTCTGCGGAATAAATATTAAAATAAATTAGAAATACTGAACTTCATTCATATCTGAGACAAATATACCCAGACACTTGACATTATAGGACACAGTTCCAATTAGTACCGGTTTGACTAAAAAATAGATAAGATTAGACCCATAGTTAAGACATCAGACGTGCAAACCATTTCTAAATTCAACAGCCGGTCCACCAGAATTGCCCTTAAATTTGACAATTAATACAAATAATTATTATTATAGAAATGACCAAGGTATACCATAAATGAATAGCTCACTTCACACACGGATTGGTTGATATTCCAGGTGCACACCTGGGACTTATAGACCACATAATTGATGTTACTGTAGGCCTGAGCGCAGTGGGCCATCGGTATGATCGACAGCTTGAACTCATTGGCCAACAAGAGTGTGGCGGACATGTTGATGGTCTTCTTACCCCAACCGGCGATTATCATGTTATCCCTGACGGGCTCCTCGAACAGGGTCTTCGGCAGTGCGATGGGGTGTATGTGGACTCCCATATCGATGGTGCCGTTGATCTTCATGAGCGCGATGTCCGCGTTTTTGTAGCCATAGAAATCCCACCGGGGGTGCTGTACTATCTTAGCCACCGGGTACTCATTGCCGTCCAGTCGTAATACAGTACCGCTTCTTATGGTAAAGTTTTTCACGTTTTGCGTGTCGTTCCCACTAATAATAAGATATTTATGATCAATCAGTTGTCATTTAAATCCTATTTTTGTTTACCTAAAACAATGGGCGGCAGTCACTATCCATTTGTCATTTAGTATACTACCGGTGCAGTGGTGCCGGTTATTCTTCATGACCACTACAACCCATGGGTGACCGCCTTCCGGTGCCGGCCTGACGATTGCTGTCGTTATAATAATTGACGTTTTTTGAATGAATTATTGAAACATAAATTATCTGATATTAATGCAATATTAATGATAAATACCCGGGGTAATGGTCGTATTTTCATATTCCTTAACTGCCGCCACTTCCACTTCAGGCAACTGTGCTATGTTTAGTCCTGTGTTGTTTCCGATGCTCTGTTTAGTTGTCTGAATGGTTTGCAAATTATTAAAAATTTTGTAGATTATAATGAATATTCTGTGGCACAAGTCATACCTGAATGTCTAGCTTTTGTTGTATAATCTCTGAAATGACGGCCTCTTTGGGTTTGATTGGGTTCTTGTGCTCTTCCATTATAGTTATAATCCAATCCAAAAAGTATGAGATTTTCGTGAATACTATCGGAAATTTATCTGCAATTTAATTATATTTTTAAATGTGTATTTTTATAATAATTATTATCATTACCAGAACAATTTACGCCATAGGATACTATTCCAACCAGGACAGGCTGATCTACATAAATATATATTAATTAGGAGTTTTAATATTCATATAAATATACAAACGGTGTCTGAATTCAATAGCAGGTCCGCCAGAATTTCCCTAAAATAAAACAAAATTACAATTTATTTAACATAAAATTGGAGGTATAATAAAAATTGACGAGCATAATCTCTGACCTCACAAATACTTTGGTTAATGTTCCAGGTGCAAATCTGTGACTTGAAAATGAAATGCTCTCCCGGCGTCAAATTGGCATAGCTATCAGCGCACAGACCCGGGGCAACTATATCGAGCTTAAACTCTGTCTCTAATGCCTGTGTCTTATTGTGGGTGATGTGACCCCAACCCGCGGTAATCAAGTAATCCCTGACAGGCTCTTCAAGCAGGGTCTTCGGCAGTCCAATTGGTTTTATACTGAGACCCATATCTAACGTCCCGTTGATTAACAGCAAAGCTATGTCTGAGCCCTTACGGCCGCAAAAGTCATACCTCGTGTGCGACACTATCTTTGCCACGCGATACTCATTGCCGTCCGCGTGGGACACGGATCCCGTCCTCACAGTATAGTTGTTGGGATTTTTATCTCTATATTTAGAGGATTTAATTATTAATTAACAAGTTTTCCGAAAACTAATTATCATTTACAAGAAGCAATGGGCGGCACTTATGATCCATTGCTCGTTCAATATACTGCCGGTGCAGTGATGCCGGTTATCTCTCACTATGACAGCAACCCATGGATTCTCGCCCTCCTTGACATCCTTACTAATTGCTGGATAATTACAATTAATATTTGATTTGAAATCCTATTATCCCATTAATACCTGGATTTATAGTCGTGGTAATGCGGACCGGATTTACAATTTGCTCACAAATATAGACGTCTGTGTTGTTCACATTTGTCTGTTTAAAAATAAGTTATAAATTAATTTAATATTATAATGTTTAATACGTTGTAATATAATCCAGTACTTAACTGAACATGCATCCGTGGTTGTTTTGTTTTGGGTAATATTCTCGAAAAATGTAAGATTGTTATCAATATTATCAGATATCACTACAATATCAGTGTTATTGTCTAGACTACTTGAGTTTTCATTTATTGAAAATATTATCTGAAATTTATCTGAAAATAAAATAATAAATTAATTGTTAAAATATTTTAGGGGTAGGTATACAAACATGTGATTAGTATTATGATAAATGTCTCAAAATTCATTGCGCAACAAATATAAGAATTAATTGCGAAACTGTTTTAATTTATTTGGCAGCATATATCTTATGATAGATTTTTAAAATAAATTATTGAACATATGTTTTTACAAACATGACTAACTAATTAATTTTAATATATTTAATTGACGTCTTAAAGATATAAATTATATTTTAAATTACGCAAACAATTTTTTGCGTTTAATAACATTTATTTATAATAAAAATGAATAGTTTTAGAAATATAGTATACAGTACTCGAATTTTATTTAAACAATCAATTACTTAGAAATTTGTAGAATTTTAGACAATAATAAAATAATAATAGACATAGTTGTTTTGTAATATAATACCAACTTGACAATTTGTACAATATTTTATAGCATTATATTTCATTTACTCTATTTTTCTCGTTTTTATTGTAAAATCTCTTTCAAAATACAAACAATTTTAAGTTGCCAATGTAAAATAAGTATTGTTTAGTTTTAGATTTCAATTATATATTCTATACACAAAAGCCATTACTATCCCAATGAACATAACATTAATTTTATTTGATTTTTTCAATTGATGATTTTAAACAAAATGTCGTTTTGTAAAATAGCACAATTTCAATGATTAAAAATCACTTGTCATATAAATAAAATAATTCATTGCAACTGTATGTGAAATTGTCAATTATCTATACTACACAATGTTTTGAATGCTATTCTTACAAAGTATTAATTTAATAGTAATTAAGTTGTTTAATAGTGAGCTCCGGTATGCGATGGCATATCCAACTGCGAGTCTAATTATTTAT